ATCTATCTTAATGCTATTGAAACATGTGAACCAAATAGCATCATATCCACTGCTACCTTTCTAATTTTAACTCAGTAACGTATGCTGCAACCACCTTGCCCTGCCTCCTCCTCCTTGCTGCCTGCCGGCTGTGATCACAAGCAACAGAGTAGTTCCCGCTGCTTCTTCGAGAAACAGCACAAAAAATAAAAATACTAATTGGGATCTTGTAGGCAACGTTCCTGAGATGGAAGAAGGAAGAGCCAACAATTGAAAAGCACTTTTAAACAAAGATGTCGAGGAGGCATGCAGAGGTCTTTATAGAGTTAACTGGTTTGGTTAGCTCAGGCAAAAAAATAGGAGTAAAGCTATCTAGGATAGGCTGGGTAAAAAATCTATTCAATCAATTTTGGATCGATTTCATATAAATTTGTAAAATTGATTCATTAGGTCTAAGATTGAGTTCATTCCCCCTGAACAAGAGTGGCCTGCAGGCTCATTTTACTGCAAAGACTACAAATCCCATGGTGCTTTACGGTGTCAACGCTTCAGTCGAAGCTCCCTTCCTTTCTGTTTACAGACTATAGAGCTCCGGACGTCATGTGACTCTCAGAGAGAAGACGCCAAGTTGGCAGGCAAAAAAGGTAAACAAAATGAACAGGATCAGCTTGGATTTTACTCCGTCGGAGTTTACTTCACACTTTAAAACCGAAGAAATCGTTTTATATAGTCAGAAATTAAATAGACTCAACATTTCCAACCCTTGCCATGCCCCTGGGATACTTTTTAAAACGCCAGAAGCTGTCGGAGCGGACCTCTTACCAGATTTGAGAGACCCTGACATTTATAATTTCCTTGATAATTTTCCCTCGTCCTACTCCGGAGCATCGCTAAGAGCATATAAAAGCCTGGAGGGATACAAATGGACTCAATCAGGGTTTGTTGTCGGCATCCAGATCTGGATTCTTCCTGCAAAGGACAGCGCTGTTGTCACCGAGAGGGTAAGTAGAGATTTTTGATACCATTAGCAACAGCCCGTTGCAAAGTTATGTCTGTTTGATCTGACAATCGATCAACCATTGCTTAAAAATGAAATACAGCTTAGCCGGTTAATTGCTGTGATCATAAAACACGTAAACAGCAGCATGCAGAAATCATGAGGCAACGTTTTACGTGATGTTTACTTGTTGCTATGAGTAAGACAGAAAAAAGCCACGCCAAAATAAGTTCAGGAAGCCCACTAAGAATCGTAATAAAAGCATTTAAAATAAATACCATATACAGTTGAAGAAACGTTGGTTTAAGTACTTGATATGAAGTGGTTGCTGCATAAGCAAAAACCTTTACTCTCAGGATCCCACAGTTTCATTTTAGCCTGGAGGCTAGCGCGTTTCATTGCGATGATCCAACATTTGCAGCGTTCCGGATCTTGGGGAATACTGTAGAAGGCTCTTCCCTTATCTTGTCTGAGTTTATTCTGGCATTCTGGGGCACCACAGGAATCTACTATATTTCCCATTTGATTGAGTTTTCTGACAATAACAAATAGTCTAACTGCCTGCCAAGATGGCGCCGTTCGATTTGAACTGTTGCATGCCGGGAGAAGGGACATCAACTTCTGGAGCTCCATAGTGTCCGTGCTAATAGTATCGGCGTCTGCAGCGTTACCCTTCTCAGTCTGGGGCAAACTGAAAACACACATTTTACTCAGTGCCAAGTTTACTAAGCTTTTTGTCAAATTTGAAGCCCAGAAATGGAGATTTTAACAGCTCAGTAACCTGTTTGCTGGCCGCGGCGGAAATAGAAAGTGCACTAGGGCTGAAACGATTCCTCGAGTACCTCTAATAATTCAAGTACAAAAAAGCCTAGAGTCAAATTCTCTGCCTTAAGGCTTCGTTTAACTCATGTTAAATAAATTCATGGCTTTGCAATTGCCTGGGGTCATGTTTCACCCGGAACGAAATAAGTGACGCACACACACACTGCACTGCATGCACACGCGAGTAGCGAATATAACTTAACTTTCTCTTAAGCCATGGGGGACAATGTGGACCCCGGTGGAGTGCAAAAAAGACAGAAAATGTCAAAGGTGTAGGACCATTTTCTAGTGTAAATACTGTAAAATGGATTTAGCCTACCACAACACCATATCCTCGATGCTGCTGCATCCATCCATCCATTTTCCTCTGCAAGCAGACTCGGAGGTCCGCTCTATATTCTACGGACACTGTGCGATTTTTTTCATTTGTAGCACTCAGTTTCAGCTCACACTGTGCGTCTGGTAGCAACATGTCGGACCTAAAATGTGCTAAAAATAGCAGTTTTTACACAACATGTCAGACTTTTTATTGTGTTGCTATTGATGTCTGTTGTCCCTCGAGATTGCTGCAGGAGAACACAGGTATTTATGAGAGGAAAACAAAAGAAAGTAAATAAATGTATTGTGATCAGTATAATTTGACATATCCAAACATGCTTTCTCGACAATCCTTGTTATTGTGTGAAAAAAAGTGTAGAAATTAAAACGGACGTGTGTTAATAGGGAAATAGCGAGTGAGCCATGTTTATGCATGCGCCGTGAGCGGTTCTGGTGCTGTTTGGGCTGCAGCCACTCGCAGCGCTACTTCAACAGTTCTCCTCCTAGTTTTTGTCTGGCTTGCCAGGCTAGTAGATTTTCGCACGAGGGGAAAATTGTCTCAGGTTATATACTTATTTTTTGCACAGGCATTTGTTTACTGTGAAGTAAAGTTGAAGTGCTGAAGTTTTGAAAACTAATTTTGAATAAAACTTGAATAACTGGCAAATGCTTCCTCATTTTAAGAGGTCTTTCATGTTTTATAACATGCTTTTTGATATAATGGTTTACAAACAAAAGGGTCATTTATTAGAGTACTTGATTAATCGATAAAAGATTCGATAGAGTACTCGATTACAAAAATATTCGATAGCTGCAGCCCTAAAGCACACTAACCGCCAGACGCACTGAACTCCAGCGAATTTACATGCTCAAGTCATAGTTTGTGGCTGCTGCTGTTTCTCTGTCCTCCCCGACACACGCTGCTTAAATGTGCTCTAAATATGTTCAGCAACACAAAAATTGTTGTCTGATGAAGATGAGCAAAAACAACACAGGAGCCTCACTGATGAACTCCTCCCTCAGCTCAGAGATAGAGAGAGATGCAGGTGTCTGGCTTGAACAGGTGAGCATGAGAGTGGAGCAAAATCAGCTAGAATTTGTGTGTTTTTATGCACTTTTTCTGCTCCAAAGCATGGGCGTTAATAGCGGAGACATTGCATTTTCATTTAGGAGAATAACTTTTTTTTTGTTGCCTGTTAAAAAATATTTATCCGACTTTAAAACAGGAACTGGAAAGGCTACAGAGAGAAAAGAATAGAAATGGAATAAAAAATCCCTTTGCTGTCCCTCAGTGGGGAATGTGTGCGGTCACAGCAGCAATTACATTCATTACAGGAGCAAAAAAGGAGAGTAAATGTTAATAAAGAGTGAACAACAAAAACAAAATAGAAATACTTAAAATTGAAAAGATTTAAAATTCAAAAACGCTGAATTCATACACATTTTAAGGAATACAAATATTTTTAAAATAAGACATACGTAACCAATACCACTGATGTGTGTTTTATTTCAAATTGACTTCCTCCTGTGTAATTTGTTTATTCCAGATTCAGTGTTTATGCAAAAATAAGGTTATTTCCAAATAAAAAAAAAGGTTCAACAAAACATATCTGTAAAGGAAAATGTGCACATTTGCCATAACTTTTCAATAATATTGAGTTAGGCTTACAACGTTGTCCCAGTTTTTCATTTCGGCCTTGTGTGAATTTGAGTCTTGAATCTGGGTCATCATCAGAAGAACAGGGTGGATAAAAAGCAGCAGAAAAATTGCTAGCTGTGCTCTCATTAAGAAAACGAGAACTAACCAGATGACAAGCAGGAGCCGGGGATGCAGAAACTGAGGCGCGCGGGGTTCGGTGGCTACAAAGAGGACGAAAGAGGACACAGAAGGACCTGATGGACGATGGACCACAGCACAGTAGAACGGGTCCTTACACTTGACTTTAATCAGCTGTAGTTCAAAAGAAGCAAAGCGACCAGAGGTTGTGGAGCTACCACACAGGAGAAGTCTACAGAGAGACTTATGGCGTTTACACATTAGCTTCGGCACGGTCGGGGTTTGGTCGCGCTGGATGGCGTAAGTTTGGGCTGGTACGGGCGGTGTAGTGTTCACATATAAATCCAAGGGACTTCTAAGGAATGTGGAAATCCCCAAGCCTGTGGGCGGCATTTAATACTCGCGAGAAAGTCCGCTCCATAAGGTAAACAAAAGGCGGACATGAGCTGTGTTTTGCATTTGCATTTTATTAATTTGCTGTGAGTGTTCTCATAATGTTGTGCCATACACACACGCACGCACGCACACACACACACACACACACACACACACACATAGCTATTCTTTTCTCCCGTTCCCACACTGAACGGCAGCTCTGGATCGGCAGCTCCTTGTAACAGACAGAAGTTTACTCAACAGCTTCCTGCGGGAAACCCCCCTCTGACTCATTCTTCTCACAGATTAAAGGCGGTAGGCATAATTTCAGCCGGCCAATCAGTCCGTAGTGTCGCCTCAAATTCAATTTAATTCAAATTCAAAGATACTTTATTAACCCCAGAGGGAAATTAGAGTTTCAATACACACAACTCTGAGATCAGACATACATACCTAGGCATAGACACATGACAAGAAATGGTGACTGTGGTCATTCGCAACCCGAGTCGCGCTACCTTAATAGAGATCAGAGGGTTATATATGAGGATTGAGACAGGTGGAGGGAAAAAAAGGCACTTCAGAGTTATCCTCCACAGGGAGGGCAGCTTTGCTATGTAAAAAGCACCTCAGACAGAAATGCAACAGACTTCAGACATTACACAACATAAGTGTCCACTAGGTGGGGAGGTAGGGTTTTGGGACTCTCCACACGTCAGTGCATGCAGCCCATAGACTGTACATATACTGGACAATTCGATTCCATAGGCTTCAATAACACGTTATCTGTCCATAATGGGAGGTGTCCACCACCGCCATTTTGACCGTGTCACAGGTTCCGTCCAGCCCAGACAATTCCATAAAAGGGAAGAGAGGAGGCGCTGAGGGTGTGGCTGTAAGGCTGGGCTCGAGTGACGACACCCAGGCGAACTAGCTACGAGCTAACCTGAAGCTAACCCTGGCTAACCCAAAGCTAAAGCGGAGGTGGGAGCCGAGCTAACGGATGTAGCCACCTAGCTTCAACCCAACCGGAGCTAACTGGAACACCCATCGACCTGAACCTCATACGGTGTTTAGGTGGAGGTTTTCTGCGCCTGTTCGTGAGAAGTACCTGTATTAAAAAAGTTTTAAATCGGTAAGTTTATAATTTATTTCCGTAATGAAAACATTTTGCTTTGAGCAAGTTTTCAGTAGTTTTTTTTGGCGCTATCACTCCTGAGTCGCACCAGCCATTAAATGTATCATGAAGAAGAGAAAATATATTTAAGTCGTATTTTGGGGGGACATTTTATTATCTTTCTTACAAAATCTGAGACCAAGTGTTTCACATTGCAACACAAGCACCGGTAACCATAACAGAATTTACAGCCAGCAGAGGAGAGGATGGCGGTGTTTCAAACCCTCCCGGCCGGCGTGTAGAGCTCATTCCTGGGCTGGAGCCGGCCCTCAGCACCCCGCCACAGGCTCTAACAGATGCTGGCGGTGTTTCATATATTTCCAAAACGTAATACTTGTTTGTATCTTGTACAGCCAGCTAGCCTTTATTCTGGACTCAGTACAATTTACCAAAAGTAAAGAGACATTATACAGATGAAGTAAGCACAAGATAACTTACTGGAAGACACAGAGTTATCATCAGAACCAGAACAAGAGAGCCTGATAACAGTCATGTGAAAATAACAGTTAAAAAGTATGTATGTATAATAGAAATAAAAATATATTAGAATTAGTGTAACTCACTGTGATCCAAACAAATCAGCCATAGCTGATGAGTAAATATGACATGAGGTCTGGGAGTTTTTAAGTTTCATTCTTTTATTACATTTTTTTCTTAGATCTATTAAAAGGTCACCATGGCAGCCTGTGTGTCTCCAACGTCAGCTACACAAAGCAGCAAGTGTAAGTACCAAGTACTTGTCTTGACCACTTCATGAATGGTTTTGTACTTTAAACAGCTAGGCCAAACCTGTTATTTTTTCCTCCATAGCCATTTGGATCATTGGAGACAGCTGAGTGAGGCGTGGTGCCCAGAGAGCTGCAGAGACAACCTTGGCCTCCCTGACGTCTGTGTCTCTTGGTTTGGTTGGGGCGGACCATCGACATACATACATGTGCCGACACTTTGCGCCCTGTTTTATAAACTGTAGTGTTAAAAATAAATGTTTTTGCTCAATTACTAGAATTTCTTTGGTTAAGACAAAAGTGAGGAATAATCATTTACAAGTTATTTGTACAACAGGCCCATTTTAAATCCCAACAGTTTCTTAGCAGACAATAGAAATGTGTTCTTTACTAACTTTACTTGGTTTGAAAATCTTACTAAAATAAACTTGAGTGCCGTATTGCAAAACCCAATCATACTTGTTATGTAAACATTAGCTTTGTAGATATTTTTTACAGATATATATTTGTGTGCAACAAAAACCAAACTTAAATAATTTGTCATTCTTTATTGAAAAACAAAAAAATACAGGTATACAGAAGTGTGGGAAAATGATAATGTGAAAGTATTGCACTATAAATGAAGTGAGATGAGATGAAGGTGAGATGAAGGTGGACGCCAGCGGGCTGGACGCTGGACGAAGAAACCTGGAGACGGATCGCTCAGACAGGAAGGGAAGAGCTTCCTCTTACCTTGATGGAATTAAAGTTAGCCGTCGTCTGAACGCCCAACCGTACGGTCTGAGGTCAAAGGTCACAGGAAACACACACCAGTCAGCAGTCATACAGATGCATAAAGATAACTGTAGCCATGGCAACCAGCTGACATGTCCCCACTTTCACCAAAACCTGGTGCCTGCCGGGTCACCTGAATTCCTGTGTGATGTCAGCACGGTCGGCCGTGACTGCGGCCATCAGAGGTGACCTCTGATCAGCTGAATGAACTCACCTTCCAGGGTGACGCCGTGTTAGAGTCGGCTTCATCCTGTAAACAAACAAATGAGTGGTAACATAAACACCACGTCTGGTTCTGGTTGAGGCGGAGGACAACATGCACCTTTCCAGGAGCAGAACCCAGATGTTTTTGTTGCTACAAACAGAGACGAGCAGAGTTAAACCAGGAAGTGAGAGGGACCAGCTGCTGCAGACAGGTGACGCTCACCTGAGCCTGAACCATAGGAGCCTCCTCAGCCATCAGACCTTCTGACTCCAGTTCAGATGCCACCTTGTTGATGTCCCTCAGGCGGGACTCGTTGGCCTTCAGGTCCTGCAGGACAAAAGCACCTGCTGATCACCTTGTTGCTGTCGGGTTAACAGGTCTGGTGTTAGAACGTGGTGGATAAGAATGTTCTGACGGGCCGAGGGTTCTGAACTCACCCTGCAGGACTGGGCCTGCTCCTTCAGGGCCTGGATGCTGCTGCCGTAAGCCGACAGGTCCGACATCACGGCCTCGTGCTTCTTCAGGAGAGCCTGTGGAGCAGAACATCAGAACCTTCAGCTCGTCTGACACAAGTGGAGCTTTCTCGCAGCGATGGTCCAATCGGATCCGCCACCGTAAAACAAACCCTGCTCAGTTCACCGCAGACGTAGCTCTGCGGGTGTTTAGTGGAAAAGCGTGAGCCTTCTGCCGGCTGCCACGTGTCATGGCTGCTCTGCAGCGGGAACACACATCACAGCTTGTAAACCGTTTGAAATAAGAGCGACGGGAACACGTTTGTCATCACTTCCTGTGCGAGGCCAGCACTTCTACCCCTAACCCATGAGACGCTCAAACGAGCAACGACGTCTGGTTGACAACCGAAGGAAATGACAAATACAGAAACACTAATTATGAAGGACTGGAAAGAGAGCAAAGAAAAGCGATTGGAGTTTCTCAGGAAGGGACTTCCATACCTCGGCCAAGTCCTCGTCTTTCCCTTAGTCTGGACTTCCAACGATGGGCTCCTTCTCCCTCATCCAGGACTCGGCCTCATTAGCATCCGCAAAGTACTGCTGGGCCTGCAGAGAGTCCTCCAGGTCCTGCCTCCTCTGGGACGCCTTGGCCTTCAGCGTGTCCCAACGTCCATGAAGCTCCCACAGTTTAGTCTTCACTTCCTCACCAGCGAAGTGACCTGGACCCAAAAAAAGTGAGCCAGAACCTGCAGACACCTCAGAAACATGTCAGGACCAGACCTGCTCTACCTTCTTCAGCCATGGTCTCTCCTTTCTGGGTGACAGCCTTGATGCGAGGTTCATGACCTGTGATCTCAGCCTGCAGAGCCTGGTGCTTCTTCAGCAGGTTCTGGACACCAATCAGGTCCTTCCCTGAGGACACATGTTAGAGTTCAGCATTATGCAGTAGACAGACCAGTTTAACCCAGGGGTTTCTTTCTTCTACAATCTGCTCTTTAACTGTATTCTTTCCTGCTATTTCAGCTGTTTACTTTATTTTTTCTCCAAGTGTTTTTCTCCCCAGAAGAAGCTACAACGATGTTCTGCTGAGCTGTGGTGGCCTCATGGAGGGGGCCATCGGCTAGCACACTGCTGCTAACCACTTAAACATTCTCCCTCTCCTGATAATAACATTTTACTTTCTTTGATGTTGGATGTGCTACTACTAGTTTACCTGTTTAATTATAGATTCACTAGGATAAATACAATAAAGTTTATCTCTTGCCAAATAGAATATTTACTGTGGCGAGCCCGTGAAGAGGTGTAGGAGAATGCGACAAATTTGTCTGTTAAAAAGTCTGTTATGTACAAAAAACACAATATCATCACACTATTTTGGACCGATACATGACGGTCAGGTCCAGCTTGGGGAGAAAATATGACACGTCTTTCAGGATGGACTTCATCTTTGGTAGCTGGAGAAGCCGGGAAAAGCAGGATCTAACCACCTGGCTAATGTGGGAGTCCATCCGCATCTCTGGGTCCAAAACCACCCCCCGGTTAGTGATGGTTGGCTTCACTAAGCTGCAAAAACAGGGTTGCAGGACAGGACTAACTGCAGTGGGAGAGGGAGGAACAAATATTCCAGTTATAAATATTAAATATTTGAACAAATAAATATTTGTTAAAAGGAAGAAACTGATGATGACTTTAAGATTAGAGGAATGTTCTAGAACGGGTCTGGAACCAACGATGGCCCTTTGGATCAAATTTGGATTAAAAAAATAACTCATGATTTTATTTATGGATGGAATAAAAATACAGGTTTTAAGCATCTTCTCAGTATCTTCATGTTGCACGACTTTCCACAGCAGAAGGACACAAAAACTGCCAGAATTATGATTAGAAAGATTTACGTTTTAATCTCAGAATCCCAACTTTTCCCAGAATCTTCACATTATTCTATGAATTCAGAGAAAATATACATTTTTCAGAGGTCTCGCTCCCCTGTTGTGGATATTTCTCAAAATTCAACCATTTTTTCTTTTCAAAAGCTTTAGTAAGAGTTTGGACTCTAAACAAGTTTTACTTTGCAGACTGCTTGTCTACACCTTCATCAGATCTGCTCATAAGAAAACATTTGGGTTATATTTAATGCCCAGGAAGATGCTCTTCCTGGGCATTAAGTTATCAAAAACAGATAAAATTATTTTTTACCATAATTTTAACTGCTATCAGCTGATAAAAATAATAAAAAACAGCCTGATCATTAAAGGGGTGTAAGTGAAACCGCGCAGATCACACAAACCATCATGCTGTCTATATGACTTTGAAAATATATAGTTTAATTACAGTTTGATTTATTTGACATCTGTATAATGTTTATTATTTTGTTTTTTCCCCCTAAATGCCTAACGTTTCAGTTTAACATGAATATTAGTCATTCATCACAATACATAAAGTTACACATTTTAAATTTTAATAGGGGAAGACTGCAGGAGGGAGCGGTAAAATACAGAAATCCCCAGCAAAAACAAGAAACTTTACGAGTCTGATGAAACCCGCTGGAGTTCCTTCAGCAGGCCTGGTGGCAGCTACAACGACCCAGTGGCTGTGCTGGGTCAATGTTATCGAGCTCAGTCCGGCTCGGCCGTGAACGAGCCGAGGCGACATCCTGCTCTGCTTAAGAAGAGGTGTTATTTTCCGCTTCAGAAGAAGCGTCCGTGTTTTACGCTTTCTCAGAGACATGTCACGTTGCTAAGTTGTTAGCGCCGCGCGCTAACACGTCAATAGTGCAGCATAGCCTGCTGGAGGGTTCAGATGAAAACACCCTACCACTCAGGCTGCTTACACATCGATATTAAGTTGTCGCTGTTGCGCTCACGCCGTAATACAGTATTAGATGCGGTTAAAGTCAGACATGAAAAACTCCACGAGCGGTCAGACCGCGCAGCAGCTAGGCGCAGCAAGTAGGCGCCGGATCAGTCAGGCTGCCCGGCCTGACCGCTGGGGATTACCGGATGGAAGAATGGACACAGAAGTCTCCCTCCAAGCGCTCCGTCATATTTCAACCCATTTTTATCTTAAATGCACTGGGTTTTACCCTATTACCCATCTAAATATGCCCTATTAATTATTTTACCGTATTTTACATTTAAATTTCATGGTTAAACAGTACATGCTACATGTTAAACTGATAGTTAGCTAGCTACTTCGGTAAACTCAGCTAGTTTAAAGGTGGCAGTGACATAAAATACGAATATAGATTTTAACTTACCGAAAAAAATGAAGTGGAGACTCCTTGGACGCTCTATTAGTGCAATTAATACCACTGCAAGTCATTTTGTCCAACAATTGCACCAATAATATCCAAAGAAGAATACACAAACACAGAGACTCAAAATGCCGGAGCAGTTTCCAAGCCAGACCGAGGCTGTACTGAGGCCTTTCCACGGAGCTAGCTCTGTGGTCACGTGGGTCTGAGGCGGCGGTCACGTGTGTCGGATGCTCATTAATTATACAGAATTTTAGGCTTTCAATACACTTAAACAGAAGAGTGAGAAAAAAATTCACCCTCCTCAGAGTTGTCATGAGTATAAACTAGATAATTTAGACAAAAAACATGTTTTGGCACCAGGCTGTAAACATGTTTATTTCTGCTGTGAAATCGGCATTTTTAACATGGGAGTCAATGAGGATTTGCTCGCTTCTGGCACCAGCCCCCAGCGGATGAGGGTGGAACTGCAATTTTTCTTACTTCCGGGATGGGACCATTTTCTGAGCGGCATTGTGGGGGCTTGATGCAGCCGCGATAAGCAGCACTCGTCACCTCCGTTTGGACAGGGGAGGGAGGTAGTTGGGGTTAGAAAGCACAGTGACTCCTGGAAACGATTCAACGGCCTTCACCGGTCGCAGTCCCTTCCAGGCTGGGATAGGGAGACAGAGTTGCCATGGCGATGGCAGCATTCCACATGTCTTGGGGGGGGGGGGGGGGGGGGGGGGGAAATCACTTCAGCCTCACAGGATCAAGGGCACCAGATTCAGATAAGAACTTGTTTTGGGGCCTGACAGAGATAATTTCCTCTCTGTCTTAAAGTTCCATTGGTCCTCAACCCCTCTAAATCCAGTAATGTTGTAATTAATCTATCCCAATCCATGCTGATCCGTCAACTTTCTCCTTGATCAAATCCACCTCCTGTGCCGGTGTCTGAATCTCAGCCAAAGTTCCAAGCTTACGACGCATCTCGACAGTTATATGAGTTTGTGTGTTCACAGCACGGTGTAATCCATCCCTGAGCTCTGGGATTGAGCCAATATTCCTCAACAGCACATTAATTTTCCGGTAAGCCAGGTAACCACTCAGGCCAAAAAGCAGGAAACCTGACACCAACACCACGAATATCCAGACGTCTTCAGAATCCTCTACAGACAGTTGGGAGAGGCAAATCAGGTTCCATTGTTTCCAGGAGTCCATGATATACCCAGCTGGATCTGTCCCAGAGGGGCATCCGGGAGCCCATTCTCTTGTTCTCTTCGTTGAAAAAATTTTGTCAATCGCGTTGAGAGACCAACTGACCAGGTCCATTTTTAATAATTTCCAGTTTCCAGAAAAAATGCAGAAGCGCCGTACACCTAAAGACAGACAAAGAGCCTTGGGATAAGATAGGGAGGAGAGGAGTAAAAAAGCGTCTGTACTCTCCAAGAGCCGGTCCCAGTCTGACCGCTAGGGAGAAGGTCTAAGAAAAAGAGTCACCTCTGCACCGAAAACGCAAATCTGACCTGCGTGTGAAACCAAATTCTGGTGCCGTTCGATACCTTTTGGGGCCGTGCTGACGCTAATGTGTAGGCACCATTAGATGAACCTTAGAGGTTCATGATGCTGGCTACAGCACCCTCTACCCCACAGACTGCAATGTGTGTTTTAGGTTTATATTGGGCTACATGACAAGCTACTAGTAGACACATTTTTGCAAGTCATTTTTCAGATGCAGCTAATGTATCAAGACTAGGGGATGTCAAATGACCATTCTTATGGGTCACACAATTTGAACCTGACGGACCCGGTACCGGTTCCACGAGCACTTCCATCAACAAAGTTGTTCAATCAATCTAAAGGAAGACAGGAAATGCTGCAAGAACTATGTCTCACGGCTGGCCAGGGAACATCTTGGGATTTCCACAGAGGAGCTGACGCAAATGGCTGAGGAGAGGGAAGTCTGTGCCTCCCTGCTTAGGTTGCTGCCCCCATAACCCGACCTCGGATAAGTAGAGGAAAATGGATGGATGGATTGATGGATGGATGGATGAATTTACAATTTATAGTAGTAAAAGGATGAAACATTTGAGACTGTACTTGTTTAACCTTAATTTGTAAAGAAAAACTGGAAGGTAATGTAGCGTTATGAATATTATAATTGTCTGCCCTTAACAGCTGCCCCTTCACACAGTAACATCGCCAAGGTCGGACGCTTGTTTCAGTATGTTTACATTCCAGGAGAAGAGACAGAAGAAGAGAAAAAGAACGCTTTCCATTAATTAATCAAAGTACTTTATTTGTGATGAGCTAATCAAAGCATATGTTGATCATTAATAATCAGGTGAATGATCTGTGAAATAAAGATGTCATGAGTTATGTGTTTAATGAATAAACAGGACTGCACCAGACAGACTGATCTACATTACCATGGAAACGCATGACACATTGTTTTCAACCAATCAGAACTTTCGTCTATCTTAGGGCAGAATATGGGTTGTTTAATGAAAGTTGTCCAATCCGGTTTACTAAGATGTGTAAGCAATTAGGGGATATAAAACAAGGCAACGCCATTTTATACTCAGTTCCATTTTAACCTCAGTTCTGTTCAATTGGAGGTCCTAAGGATTTCCATCGTCATCATTAAGAAAGTTACAGGCTGGCCAGCTGTACTTTCCTATTTTAAGCTGAGAACTGTCAAGCTGGAGATTTCTGTCGTTTGAACAACAAGACGACGGTTCCTTCACAATAAGAGCTGAACCCGCCGAGATCTGCTACTACTACCGGAGCTATCCGTAGACTGGTTTGTCGTGCTGCACCACTGTTTCATCAGCCCAGCACCAAGGGGGGTTCTAGGACCTGACACTCCTGATCTGACCGCCGGAGACTCATAGGTACGTAGTCACGGCACAAAATGGCGGCTCATGTCATCAGCTTCTGAAGCCTCGTGGTAGCCTAGTCATAACAACCAGATTCGCTACGTCAGCCTAGAGATTCTGAACAACACACACACACACACACACACACACACCAACACGAACCATCCAAATCCATATGCATCCATCATTGAGATAGTCCTGGTAGATTGTAAGAATTTATAATTATAGAAATTAAAGATTCTTAAACGATCCCAACTCTCTCTTTTCTTGTCTCTCAGTCAACACAGAGTGTTTAAGTAAACTCCCTGATGATAAAAACAACCACTTCTGATTATAATATTTAGATCTAATTGTAGTGTATAAAAATACAACTACAGATCATAACAGTAAAAAGTTCTGGTTAGTGTCTGCTGTTCTGTTTCACAGAGGAGCTACAGTAGATCACATGACCCATCTAAGCACCTGCTTTTTAAAACATCTAATATAGTAAGGAATATAGGAAACATACCAATGTCTTTTGCTTTGGCTGCTATTGGCCTACGTAGCTCCATAACAAACTTCTTGGCATCCAGACGAATTTCGATGATGTTATTCAGCAAAGCAAAGAGAGGAGCCAGAGGAAAGGAGGCCACGAACAGAGTCACCATGCCAAACTGGATAACTGTAGAGATGGACAACACAAGAAATGAAGATTATCAACCAAACAGTCCCATGTTTCAAAAAGAGACACTGCACCATTGACGGAGGGACCTGAAGTAGCTGCCATTTATCCAGAGGGTTTATCCAATAACTAACGTCAAAAATGACAGAGTTTCATTTCTGGTTGATTCAATTAACCCTCCCACTGTTCTAATGGGTATGACCCCGCAAGGAAAGTTGACCATTGAGCAGGGTTGATGGTTTATCGCTTGGGTCCATGCGGCAGGGGTGAGCACCACCTCACCTCTGCCACATGGACCTCAAGGGATAAACCATAAATCCTGCTCAATGGTCAACTTTTCTCGCGGGGTCACCCATAAAGACAGTGGGAGGGTTAAAAAAGTCAAATTTAAAAGGTAAACATTATGCAAATCTGACTGTTTGAATCTTGTTCATCTGCCTGACCTGACCTGACATAACTTGATAAATCGAGGCAGCAAGGGCAAATTATTTAAGTTGATAGGTTGGGACGAGTTGGGTTGAATCAGAATCAGAATAGGTTTATTGCCATTGTCAGTGAACAAACAATTCACAAACTAGGAACTTGCTTTGGTACTAATGTGCTACATATAACATGAATAATAAGATTAAAAATAGAATAAAACAGAATAAAACTTTCAGCTATAAAAAATGGCAGGTAATGGTAACATGGCCGATAACGTGACGTTGTGTCGAGTACAGAAGACGAGCATGGTTGTGTGTTCATAAGCTATTCACAAGTCTAACGGCAGATGGAAAGAAGCTGTTCTTTTGCCGGGAGGTTCTGGTCTGGATGGACCGTAACCTCCTGCCTGAGGGAAGCGGCTCAAAAAGTCTGTGACCCGGGTGAGAAGGGTCAGCTGCTATCCGACCTGCACGCCACCGAGTCCTGGAGACGTACAGGTCCTGGAGAGATGGAAGGCTGCAGCCAATCACCTTCTCAGCAGAGTGCACAATGCGCTGCAGTCCATGTTTGTCCCTCACTGTGGCTCCAGCGTACCACAAAGCGATGGAGGAGGTGAGGATGGACTCAATGATGGCCGTGTAAAACTGCACCATCATCTGGGCCGGCAGCTTGGCCTTTTTCAACTGCCGCAGAAAGTACATCCTCTGCTGGGCCTTTTTGATCAGGGAGCTGATGGATGGCTCCCACCTAAGGTCATGTGTGATGGTGGTTCCGAGGAAGCAGAAGGAGTCCACAGTGGTGACGGGGGTGTCCGTCAGGACGAGGGGGAGAGATGGGGCTGTGACTTTCCTGAAGTCAACAATCATCTCCACTGTCTTCTGAGCATTGAGCTCCAGGTTGTTGTTGCTGCACCAGTACACCAGCCGTTCCACCTCCCTCCTACAGGCGGACTCATCACCGTCAGAGATGAGCCCGATGAGGGTGGTGTCGTCCGCAAACTTGATCAGTTTAACGGAGTCATGGCTCGAGGTGCAGCAGTTTGTGTACAGGAAGAAGAGCAGAGGAGAAAGTACACAGCCCTGTGGAGATCCTGTGCTAATAGTCTGAGTGGTGGAAACATTCTTCCCCAGCCGCACGCACTGCCTTCGGTCCGTCAGGAAGTCAGTGATCCACCTGCAGGTGGAATTGGCATTGGAAATGAGACACCAAAGATAGGCTGAGGGTGAAAAGATGTGTCTGTATATCAGTGTAGTCTGAGGGTATGACAGCACCAATGCTGATGTCTACGTTTCCAGTTTTGTAGGAGGCCAAGCAATCAATTATCATTTTCTCAACTGGTAAAAGAAGATTTTCATAATTTTGTTAATTCTTTATCTCCAGATTGCTGTGAGTTATGGCGAATGTAAGAAGCATCGCCCCACAGACAATAAACAGAAGACAAAGGATGGATGGACAAAGACACAGAGCTACAGCTAACACTACCTTCATGTTCGATGGCCCAACCCAACAACAATCAGCAAGTCTTTCTGTGTGTGTGAACCACTTTGAGGCAGACTGCTTTTGCCTCAGTTCTGCTGAACGGTTAGGTTGGTGTGGTTCATGTTGGTCAGCTACTAAAATCAGCTCACACGCAACATAAACTTCTTATCTCATTGTTAGCAAAAGCTACAGCAAGGATGTTTATGACAGATGTTATTCCACTTTCAACCAGTAGGGTGGAGGAGCAGGAAACTGCTCACTGTTACTTTAAACTTCTTCTGACAGAGGGAGTCGTACCTACTTCCCATGTCAAGTCAGCAGATGAGGGAGATAAAAAGTAAGTAGTTTTAAATAATTACTTATGTGTTTCTGTCACAGTTAAACATGAACTAGCTTAGCTCAGGAGTTCTCAGTGGTTCCCAAACTTTTTGACCCCCAATCCTTTTCTTGGACCACGTGTACCCTCTAAGTCAAGTGTGTTGATGATTCCCCAAAAGGACAATGTACAACTGATTATTAAATTACAAATATTTCATGAAATTTTTATCTCCTTAATGCTGAACCACGTCTTACTTCCTGTCTGGCTCAGGTGAATTATTTCATTTTAACAATCCTCATGCAGCTGTAGCGTTGTGGATTGTTGCTACATTTTTGTTAAATGACCAATAACATGTGACATTCTATTTAAATATGATTTATCAATCTGATTGGTCTTTGATTATTTGATTTAATATTACCTTGGGTTCTTTGGACGATTCAGGGAACACACACTTCATATAAATTCAGACAGAGTCAAGGATATAGTTTTTAAAAGATGAACTTAATTCGATATTTCTATTATTATTGTTATATTGTTGTTATTATTATACATGACAAAGTATGAATAAAATGATGGTTGTTCAAAATAACCAACAATGAATGAAATGATGGAATGTAAGCTAGCTGTTTTGTAGCAAGAGCTTAAGAATCTGAGAGCTAAAATCCTTGAGAAAGTCGTTTACAGCCAGTTAAAATCTTTTTTAGATGATAAAAATGTTTTGGAGATTTTTCAGTCGGGTTTTAAGTATCTTCACAGCACGGAATCTGCTCTGTTGAGAGTTTTTAATGACATCCTTCTTGCCACAGAGATTCTGTGATTTTAGTTCTTAGACTTGACCGCTGCTTTCGACACAGTGGACCATAATATTTTAATGTCACGCTTGGAGCAATGTGTCGGGATTTGTGGCACTGTCATGGAGTGGTTCAGATCATATCTGGCACAGAGAAGTTACTGTATCAATTTAAACAGTTTCCACTCTTCCTCTGCTCCATTGTCATGTGGGGTTCCTCAGGGCTCAACACTTTACTTTTTAGTTTGTATCTGGTGTGTCTAGGGTCCATTTTTAGGAAGTACAAAATTGCCTTCCATTGCTATGCAGACGATACACAGATGTATCTCCCACTAAAACAAAAGAATGGCTGCAGTATAAAATCTCTAGCGGTTTGTTTGGATGAGGTAAAATCTTGGATGGCTTTTAACTTTTTTAAATTTTATGAGAAAAAGACAGAGATAATTGTCTTTGGTACTGGTACCTCCAGCAGGCCCACTCCTATGGACTGGCACTGCACAGAAAGCCAACAGTGACCAACTCTGGTTTTAAAATGGACAGTGATTTTAGGTTGGACAGTCAGATAAGTGCTGTTGTCAAATCCAGCTTCTTTCATCTGAGACAGTTGGCAAAGGTAAAGCACATTTTAACTAGAGAGGTTTTAAAACTAATCCATGCTTTTATTACAACTCGTCTGGATTACTGCAACTCTTTGTACTTTGGTATGAGCCAGTCCTCACTGTCTCGACTTCAACGGTTGCAAAATGCTGCTACTCGACTTTTAACTGGTACCGGGAGGAGTGAACACGTCACTCCTGTTTTATCTTCACTGCACTGGCTGCCTGTCCATTTTAGGGTTCATTTTAAACTTCTTCTATTTGTTTTTAAGTCTTTAAACGGTCTTGCCCCGCCCTACCTCTCTGAGCTATTGCACATTCACTCCTCCTCTCGGTGGCTCAGGTCATCTGACCAGTTGCTCCTGGACGTTCCTAGGACACAACGTAAGCTGACCCCTTCTTTCCACCGGAGCCGTCAGCAGCACGTTACTGCAGCAGCACGTCATAGCTTCTTATAGGAACCGCTGTGGTCAACAAAACCTTTTCCACCGGAGCCGTCAGCAGCACGTTACTGCAGCAGCACGTCATAGCTGCTGATAGGAACCGCTATGGTCAACAAAACCTTTTCCACCGGAGCTGTCAGCAGCACGTTACTGCAGCAGCACGTCCAGGGCTGTTGCTAGCTATTTTGGTGCCCTAAGCACAAAGGCTTCGTGGTGCCCCCCCCCCCCACACACACACACATACAGAAAAAACAACACAATAACACAGTATGTGCAAGCGCTTCACCTTAAATTTTCTTTAATTCTCTTGTATGCACAAACTGCTTATCATTTTCCAAAAAGTAGGATTGATATTTTGTGTGTGTGTGTGTGTGTGTGTGTGTGGGGGGGGGGGGGGGGGGGGGGGGGGGTTATTTTGCCTTGGCCCCCAAAATGTCTTGAAACGGCCCTGGGTGTGTGACTGAGTTTTGAAGGTGATCTGAATTGTATCAAATGTATAAATATGGCATGTGTATAACTTATTGTTTTATACAGGTAAAAATGTGTAGTGGAGATAAATCTACCTACATTTTACTTTTCAACACTTTGTTTTGTTTTCTTGTTTTTATTTAACTATTTCCTGTCCTGTCTGTCTCTCATCTTCCTGCATCTCCTCTAAACTCTCCAGAAAATCTGCTGCCTGGATTCTTACTTTTTCACCTCATCAGTTACTTTTGAGCAGATCAAAGGGATCTCCTGACCGCAAAGCGGAGAGCGCGTTTCGATGCTGCGTCAGTGAGGTGAAATCACCGCAACACAGGTGATGAGCTCTGCAGTAGCAGAGCGCCAGGCACAAATAAGACAGAAAGTCGAGAACATGAGCGGACATGAACGATTGTGGGTTAATTATAGTTTTTTGCCTGCGCCACTTTGAGAATGGACCGTGCGCTGGAAGCAGCAGCCTGAATCGC